AATATACAGGTTTTGCATACCAACTTTGTACAAACTAACAGTCAAATTCATACAAACTGACAGTCAAATTCATACAAACTGACAGTCAAATTTATACAAATTGACAGTTAAATTTGTATATAACACTTTTAATTAAATTGCAATATCTTATGATCTAGTAACTTAAATTACATAAATTTGGTACTATTTGATTCATATAATTTTAATAAATTAAATGATATCAAATCTATATAATTTAAGTTATTAGGTCACAAGATATTGTGATTTAATTAAAAGTGTTATGTACAAATTTGATTGTAAATTTGTATGAATTTGACTGTCAGTTTGTATGAATTTGACTGTTAGTTTGTATAAATTTGACTATCAGTTTGTATGAATTTGACTGTCAGTTTGTATGAATTTGACTGTCAGTTTGTATGAAGTTAATATGCAAAACCTATATATCAAAACAAAATTAATATGCAAAAAATGAAAAAAGTTACAAATTTACCCAATATCAAAAAATTTAGATTGACAATATAATCTGAACAATGTAAAACTAATAATATTACTAAAAACTTTGTAGAAATGCAAACTAAAATATTCACTAAGAGATTAGTACAAATATTTTATAAAAAAAATATTTTAAAAAGGCCAAATTTCATAAAGTTGTTAGACAGATTAACAGAAGAGCTAGTGCATATTATTAATACAATAATAGAAGATACAAAAGATAACAAAAAGAAACTTTAACTAGTACTACAAGATACAAAAAAGTCTTTGACTTAGTATTAGTAGTAGCATTAGATTTAGTACTTAAAAACTTAAAATACCAAAAACAGTAATTATCTTTATTTTAAAAATTAATAGTCAAAAATTATTACAAATTTATAGACAACTATAGCTTTTGAAATTAAAGATAACAAGATGAAGTAATCTTATCTTTAGTATAAAAAATATTTTATAAACTATTATTAGAAAGAATTCAAAGTGATCCAAGTTTAGATTATATATTATGTACTTTATACAATAATAGTATAAAGTTTACAATATAAAAAAAAAAAGATAAAGACAAGTTATAATAGTATATGCAGATGATATGATATAGGTTACATCAAATAAAGCACAAATAGAAAAAATTATTAAAATAACAAAAGATTTCTTTAACTTAAATAATATACAAATTAATAAAAAAAAATCAAACTTATTATAATAAATACCAAAGAAAAAAAAAAAATAAATCAATTTTCTTTGACAAAAAATAGATTCAGAAGGAAAATAAAAATAAGATTATATAATTGTTAAAAATTTGGTTAAACTGTAAATTTAAAAAATCAACAATAAGTCAAGAGTTAAAGAAATAGTATAAACATTTGTAAGAAGCTTAAATCCAAAAAAGCTAATAATTAGCTAAATATTAAATATTAATAATATATGCATACTATCCAAACTGATCTATATGCTACAAACAACAAGATTATTAAAAAACATGATAATTAATATACATATACTAATAATTGACCAAGCAAAAAAAAAAATAAAAAATTACATAATCTGTAAGAAATAGCATGATGTATTACAAAAATTTGGATAATTTTAATTTATTACAAGACTAGTTACTACTTAAACAAATTATCAGTTTATATAATTAACTTAACATAGTAGGCCTAAAAGAAGTAATAACCAATATAAGAAAAGAAGATAGTTTTTATTTAATAGAAACATTTAAAACATGTGTTAAGAAAATATTTCTAAAATAAGCACAAAGCTGTAGAAAAACAAATTGGTATATTTAATGATGCTAAGAGCAAAAGAATTACAACTAGTTTTAAATTTTAATTATAAAAACTCAATTTATAATAATAAAAGCACAAGAATATATAAAGTTTTAGAAAAAACTTTATACAATTGCACACAGATTAAAAAAGTTAGGTATTATGTTTATATATTAGCTAATTAATAAAGAAGAAAATAAAATGATTATATAGCAATAATTAAGTTTTTTGAAAAAAAGTAATGCCAAAGATAGACTAGCTAAGTGGATCAAAATTAAAAAAATAAAGATAATAAAAAAACCAAACTGTAGAATAGTGAAGTTAGAATTTAGAATTGCAGTTTTGAATAAAGAAAAAATCAAAGTGCAATTAGAAAAACTATCAAATAATGTAAAGTAAAAAGATTGAATGGTTATAAATAATATACTATTTCACAAAAAAGAAAAAATATTAGTAGAAAGAATAGTAACTAAAACATCTAAAACATTACAAATCAAACATTGAAAAGCAAGTTATTAGCCAGAAAAACAAAAAACAATACTAGAAAAATATAAAGACTACATATATAACTATAATAGTGTTATAAAAGAAAGTATAAAAAACATGATTACAAGGTACACAAATAGAAAAGATATATGTTAACTAGAAATTAATACAAATATGTTAAATTTCATTGTGCAAAAAAAGGATTACAAGGTCTTAGATTTTGAAAGACAATTAAAAGAAATTTGTATAAAAAACAGAAATATTAAAATAATTAAAAAACAAAAAATTAGTAATAGGATTATAGAATTATTAATAAAAAACATAAAAGCATTAAAGAAAACAATGCCAAGCAAAAGAAATTAATCTTTTATACAGATAGATCACTAATAAAAACAAAAAAAAATTAAGACTCAGATTATATAAGAGCTAGTTGGATGCAAGTAAATAATAAGAAAGAGTATATGATTAATGAAGATGCTATTGGTGCTAAAGGATGACCTTCTTTAACAAAAGCAAAGCTGTTAGCTATTTGATATATAATTCTTATAGTATTAAGCAAAACAAAATTAAAATATATACAGATAGTACAGCAGCTATAACAAGTATACATAGTAATATATAATACATAATAACTAAAAAAAGAATGAAAAGAAAAAATTATAATATAGTTATAAATATAAAAGATACAATATAAATAAAAGAATTGGATTTAGAGTTAATAAAAATAAAGAGACATAACAACAATAAATAGAATAACAGAACAGATAGTATAGCAAAAAAAGAAGCAAATATACAAAATAAAAATGAAATTATAGAAGAGTTTGTCTCAAGATCTAAAATATTACTTTGTTGGAAAAATAAAGTAATAAAAAACCTAATACAAGGTTTTGTTAAAAAAATTAATAATATTAAAAACCATACAAATTGAAGTTATATATTAGCAGTTAAAAAATTAAAATTAGAAAAAGAAAAAAGTAAGCATTGCTAGGTACTATTATAGAAAAAAATCAGAATTAGAATGAAACAAAATGCATCTTGATTAAAAAAAGTAAAAGACTGAATATATTCTTTAAATACATATAAGAAAGTATGTTTATATTTAAAAAATTAATAATAAGACAATCAGATTTGTATACAAATGCAAATTGTATAGTTTGTAAAGAAAAAAAGAAAAAAGATCAGAACTATTTAGCAATATATTTTTTTTATAAAAACTATTAAATAAAGACAGAAACATTGGCAATAACAATAATATAGAACATATTTTTAGAAGAAAAAAAATGTATTGCTCAAATACAGTTAAAAAAAACAATCTGCAACCAAACAGAAAAGAAAAAAGCAAAAGTAAGAAAAAAACGTAATAAATGTCTTTTATAAGAAAATATAATTAAGAAAATACAAAATATTTTAATCTTAATACAAAAAACAAGAAATTTTATAATAAGTATAATAAATATTATATAAAACAAATTTTATAAAACAATTTGAAAAAAAAGATGCAGTAGAGTATCTGAATAGAAAAAAAGTTAAAGAATTTATATAAGAAAAGAAACAAAAATAAAGCAGTAAAACAACAAAATAGACTAGCACACAAAGTTTTACTAAGATCAAGAAACAAGAACTTAGAAAAAATAAAAAATATAAAAAAAAAGAAAAGAAACAGAAAATGAAAAAATAGAAGACTTATAAAAAAATAAAATTAAAAAATTAATTAGTAATAACAAGAAATCTTACTAAAATAATCTCAAAAATTAACCTAAATAACTTTTTAGTAATGAATATAAACTTACTCTAATGTAGCAAGTTATCTTTAAACACTTATATTATAACTGAAGGATGTCAAACCTAAAAATTAAGTTAATATTTGTATAATTATATATGCTATTCTTTTAATAAAGAATTCTGACAAGGCTGCCAAAGAGTTAAAAAAAATAATAAAATTATTAAAACAAATAAAATTAGATTTAATTAAATATTATTTTTTAAATTATAAGTTGATTTAAACAAATTTAGTTGCAATTTTTTTTAATAATCATATATACATACTTCTGTAAAGTTATATGTTTAAATAATTTAATTAAGTTATTAGTTATAGATATGTCATTAGAATATTGATAAATATTATAATTTTAAAACTATAATTCAAAATTATATATATAAAACCCCTTTTTTACATTTTAACAAAAAAAAACTTTATGCAAAATTTTATTATAATAAACTTTTTTTTTATTGCACTTAACCCTATCTAACTTTAATTTTAATAAACAAAAAAGTAATTTATTTTAATTATTAAATTATAATTTATAATTATAAATGTTTCTAAAAAAACCTCAAAAATTTAAATGACTTATATTTAAATTTTCGGGATTTCTTTTAGTAACACTCATATATGTGATATATAAACACATCGCAGTATATAATATATAAACACATCGCAGTATAATATACATTTATCCAAAACAATTTACCTTTTTTTTTTGACTAATTCTTTTTTAAATAACTCAGTTATATACTTTAAAAATTGAAACAATTAAAAATTTTTCTAATCATTTCACCATATTACTGTATTAAGCGTATAATTTAGCTATCATTAAAATAATTCTTACCAAGACTAGAGTTGAAACAACTTACCTAACAACGTAACTTACATGACTCTAATGTAAATTATAAATATATAGATTTAATGCTGACCAGAATTATGATAACATGACCAGAATTAAGACTAATTTTTTGATAATTTAGACAATTCATGAACATCAATTACGAAATTACAAGCAAGGTCGAGCTATTTTTTTTTTGAATAATATCTAGGATAAGATAACTTACATCAGTTAAAATAACTTACATAAATTACCCACGACTAACATGATTTTGTCCAGAACTATGAACAGATTTTATAACTGTTAAACGAATCCAATCTCTAAGAGTAATGACAAGTACAAGATCTTTTAGCATGTAATACCCTGTCTAAAATTTAAAAGGATTAAATTTAGACGACATTAGGTAATTTAAAAAAATGTTATACAAAAATTTTTGACGATTAAAGCTTATTATATACCTCCGAAAATAAGCACTCTTGGCCTACACTATGACAACTTTGGCCCGCTTTACAATAATTGTGGCCCGCATTACGTGTAAAACACGTGTGCATATTTTTCGGTGGAATACGATATTTCATTGTATAATATTAGGGAAATTATAAAATAAGAAAATCTTTGTTTAAATCAATATTAAATATTTTTTGATGTTGCCATTTTTTTTTTTTTTTAATAATGTAATTATATTAATAATTTAAGATAATTTTTTTTAAACTAACTAAATTCATTTGATTCGTAAATTACACTCATTTCACGGTAATTTCATAAGTAGATTAGTGATAGACGATCGTTAGCCAAAAAAGTAAACAAAATGTTTATATATTCAGGAAATAATTAAAATAAAGATATTTATTATGGAAAAAATTTAAATGGATAAAATTAATACATACGAATGTACGTATGTACGTACGTAGAATGATTCCACTTCAAAAAATAATTTGTCACAGATTTATTTAGATAATAATGAAAAAAAAGGATAAATATGTGGATAAAATTAATTAATTAATTAATAGAATTTTTAATAGAATTTTTAATAGAATTTTTAATAGAATTTTTTATTATAAAATATATTAGATCATAAGATTCAATGATTTCATTATTGTTTATTTAGAATAGAAAACAAATGTAATATAAAAGGTTTGTGAAAAAAATCCCGACAAATAGAATTTCAACGAATTATGCAAATTATGATCATCTAACGCAGGCAAATTTGTCAGGATTTTGTTTGATCGACTCCTTAGTACGTATAAATTTATTTAGCAAATAATATTACGTAGAAGTATGACAAAAGATAAAGCTTTTTCCTAATATGATTTATTTTGTTAATTTCCTAATCTTGACTGGGACATAATAAAGAATTCAATTAATCACATTTACGATTTGTGCTAAACGTAATAAGGATTTTGTTTAAAAAAGTTCACCAAAGTCAATCCTTTAAGTCGACTTAGCATGAGCGCATTGAGTCTAGCTCATAACTAATTAAAAAACCACATGGATAATATTTTTTTTAATATGTAACGCAGGTATAGGTTATTTGTTTCCAGGAATGTTTCAATACTGATAGGATTAATTAAGAAATAGTACGATCTCAATAAACCCCTTGATTTCAAATCTGATAAATGCAGTTGGGGTCGGGGTCCGTTCATTTAACGTTCCCAAACTTGACATTCCTAATCATTATGCATATAAGCCAAACTTTGGATCGACTTTCGATCTACTGACTTGACTTTAGACCAGACCAGAGTTTTTTATTATCTCTATAAACATGACGTAAAACGATAGACCCTATACGAGGAGGATTCTAGGGTAAGAATGAGTAAAAAGTCCTTAAAAATGATATGTAATTATTGTCTGATGCTCGCACAGAATTATGCTTAATTATAAATCAATAGATAATCCTTTAATGGATGTTTATCCTAGTTACTAATCAGACAGACGTTACAAATACTAGAATTAACGTGTTTTAAAAAAAAAAAAAAAAAGAAAAGTTAATTTCGAACCTATTAATAGAGTTTATTGAACATGAAAATAAAGTTTATTTAACATGTAAATAGAGTTTATAAAATTACATACCGGTCCAAGTCAGGTTTAGAAACAGTATAATTCAGTAAAGTCTAACCTTTAACTTGCAAGGAATAAAAAATATGCATAAAGTCATTTAATTTTATTGCTTGTTTCTTAATCGCCATATATAGTATTTAAGCACTTACGTAATTTTTCACGTAGGAGTAGCGTGATTGGCAGACGATTACATGATGTCGCACGGAATCCAAATGCATAAATCAGACATTGAGAGTAGGAGTCGGTTTCAGGTCGTCAAAAGTTTTCGCATGTCCGTTCTGAACTCGAGAACGTACATGAGTTACTTTGTATGCCTTTCTTCTTTACCTTTCTTTGTATCTAATATAACCACTTTTCACCACATTCAAGTCAAAAAATTTTACACTTTATTTTATTCACATTTGAGAAACAGATCAGTACGCAGTTATTCCTTTTTTTTCCAGCCCATTATATGTCTGCAGTTTCTGCAAACAATACAATGGTATCTTCTGGAAAAGATGGCACTAGTTCGACTCACATTGCTTCGCCTATCACTTCGGTGTCTCCCTCTGAATTAGTTCATTCAAATCGATCCGTGTATGGAGTTTGGGAATTTTTTAATATACCAGTTCCTAGCGTGTCTTTCGCCTCAGTTTCCTACATGTTGATCGCCGTGACGATCCTTTTCGCTCTAGCAATCATGCATAAGGTATCGTATACATTTTATTTTAAGTGCCACTATTATTTTTTTTTAATATAAAGGATTTTGTTGGGAAATGTATGCGAGGATATTTATCAATATTTACGGACGAGTTTCAACAGATTTATAAATGAGTTATTTTGAATGATATTTAATAGATATTTGAAAATCATATCGTTTCATGAATGAAAAAATTCATTAATATATTAATATATATCGTGTTAAAAAAATTTTTTTTGTGACAGCATTTAGCATATTTTTTTAAAATTTTTTTTTTCTGTGGACTAAAAAAAAAAATTTTTTTTTTTTTTTTTTTTTTTAATTATAAGCATGGGGCCAAGCCCAGTTGGAAACCAAGTTCCCAACATCTAAGCGAAAAATTTAGATTGTACATGGCTGGATCCATGGTAGGGGATGCTGCTCGGCGGATGTTCAATGGATGGACAAGGTCGCGACAAGATGGAATGGCGATTTCAAATAGGGATGAAAAAGGTCGACGATTATCATTAGATATGTCATCATCGTCTTCAATATCCCTGTCTCCTTCCGAACCCGTGGATTATACAGCACCACGATTATATAAAAAGGCATCGAATTCTCGTTTGTCATCTCATAGACGTCCGAATTCTCGTTTAAAGGCACAAACACTTTCACCAATAGATGATAATCCATCAACAATTTCATCTAATGAAGATCAACCGATCGATCAATCCAATGAAACAGATGAGTCAAAAACAACAGTGACGATAAATGTTTCAGACCCTCGATCGGAACATCAAGAAATTAATTATGAAATTGATGGTATTCCTTCAAATCAGCTTAATCAAAATTTTGAAGGAACTCAATCTAACAATCAAGAAATCAATTCGAGAAATGAGACATGTTTGACAAATAATGATGGGACAAATAGTCGCATAACCTTTGATGCTTTAATCCCACCACCCATACCTACAACGAATAACATATCGGCAACATTGCATAAAAAAAATTCTAAATCACGATTAAAAGCGCATCGACCACAAAAAGATCAAACATTAAATGTTACAACACAGGAAAGTGAAGGGGAACTTGAATCATCATCTATACCGAATACACCAAAAAATTCGAGCGAGAATAATAATCAAGAAGAAATTTTTGTAAAACCTGGGAATAGGAGACGCCGAAGAAAAACCAAGAGTTCTAAAAATAATCCGCAGCAAAATTCACAAGAAAGTAATAATCAATCAGAACAAAGATCGTCTAAGCATGAATCATTACCTAAAAATGATCATACACAACAAAATATTAATGGAACACCAAGATCACGACAATCTGATGAGATGTCATATACTACTATTCATCCACAACAACCTCGTCAAATAGCTAAATTGAAAACAGAAGATCATAATATTTGGCAAAGAACCTTGAATACAGATACAGTACAATATCAAGCACAAGCACAACCACATCATTCACAACAACGTTCTGATCAAACATCATATTACATGCAAGGAAATAAACGAAATGAAGCAGTTTTTCAAACAACTATCCCAGCTAAAGCTACTTTACCGGAAATAAACAAAAAAGCGGTGGTATTTCCGAGACGAAATTCACAATCGAATGTCACATCGAATTCTTCGATGAATTCTTCGATGAATTCATCGATGAATTCTTCGACGAATTCCTCGATGAATTCCTCGATGAATTCTTCGATAAATAAATTTACATCATACGCAGGAGCTATTTCATCACAAAATCGGCCACCACCTATTACGACGAAAAATTCACATGACATTCCTTCTACTTTACCTGGTGATAATAATATTATGGCACCTGTGCCAGCAGCAGCATCTGTGAGGGACGCAACAAATCATCAATGGTATTCACCATTTGGATCAGGACTTTCAATTCAGTTCAATCCACCTGTACCACCAGAAGATATTCATAATAAATGGGCATCAAATAATTCAGTTACATCAGCTTCATTATTTTCCTCACCGATGCCAGCAGCAAATTATCGTAGATCATCTTTAACATCAACTTCACCGATATCAAACTCAAATGAATCAACAACATCCATTTCAGTATTTGCATCATCACCTTTTTCAACTTTAACTAATCATGATCGACGAAATTCAACATCATTAACGAATTTTGGGAAATCATCATTAACAAATTTTGGGAAATTATATAACGTTCATGATCAAGAAAAAGGAGAATTAACAAGTGAAAAAATAGAAACAAAAGAGTTGAACTTAACCGATGAGATGATACGAGGAAGAAGTTTGAAGTCCAAAATTTTGAATAATAAAGATAAAATGAGTGAGGGTATGATAAATTCAGATCAGGGACAAAATGTACCACAATTTTCTTTGTTTGATAAACAATTATCATTTCGCATGTACCCTTCAAAATCTTAGCTGATTGTATGATTTTTTATAAATATATATAAGTGCTATAAATTTTGAACCGATAGTTTCATATATATTTTTTTGGTTGATCAATTTAAAATTTGATGCATTTTTGATGATTTTACTATGTACTTTATTAAAGAAAAAAAGAAAAGAGAAGTAAAAAAAATAAATAAATTAAATTATGTATAGTAATAGAATCAGCTTCTAACATATCATATGCATGTAGCAAATCTCGATCTTTAAAATTTTGACAGTTTTTGATGATCGAGCGGACTGCGCGAGGATCGAATTCTCGTCGATCATATGACAAAGTGATGATCTCTAAAAAAAAAAAAATTATAATTATTAAGTTATTAGGTTATTAGGTTATTAGGTTATGTTATTAGGTTATTAAGTTATTAGGTTGTTAGGTTGAGGAAAAAAAAAAAGTTCTTTGTTGAATTAATGCAGAAACGCATACATTATCACATGATCGACAACCATAGCCAATCCAAACATGTAATCATCTTTATAAATGCATTAATAATAACCTCTGCATGCATAGTAAGATTTCTAAAAGCAAATAATTTTATGCGTGGCGTTTTTTTTTCCTGCACTATCACGCATTAAAAAGTTTAGATTATGTATAAATTTTCTATCGGGTATAGTCAAAAGCCAGGTAGTGGTTATGTTTGTCACGTGATTTTGGAATAATGATTACCTGAATTACTGAATTAGTAATCCGCTTATCAGTTATCGTTAATATTGATATGATATTGATATTTATATTTGATACCCGAGTTTATGATGTACGTACGTATCAGGTATGTAGATACCAGTACGTTTATTACGTTTATGACGTTTATGACGTACTGTACGTATCAGGTATGTAGATACCGGTACGTTAATCGTTAATTTTAAATTTCATTACCATCGTTATCCTGACAAGTGATGATCGTGGTCACATATGAATTCAGATTTGGTTGAACTTTAACGTTAAATTTTTAATAATAAATGAAACCTATAAATATATTAAGAATGCAGTATTTTTTTTTTTTTTTGAATTGTATCGATAATACATACTAAGGTAGAATTTTAATACATGAACCCGGATTTAAATATTGTATCCGGGATTTTTTTATTTTATTTTATTTTATTATCAGAACGTTTAAAAGTGATTGCATATAAAAGATCAGGCTTTGTATACGTATAATAATTTATTGTAGGCTTTTGAAAGTAAACTTTTCTTAAGATCAAACTAAGAATGCATCACGTATAAGATTTTATTTTCAAAGATCTAAAATGTTGAACTTTGTAGAGAATTATGATAGATCATATAGATCATGTGATTATTAAGAATTCTGGTGACTAATGATCGTACGTATCAATGTAGCGGTAGAGGAATGTTGAAGAATTTACGTACGTACGTACGTACCGTTACGCATGCACGCACACGAATCTATCATGTGGTCGAAATTATGGCTTATATCGCAACCAGTTTCAAATAAGCTGAATAGGAATAACAAATCACATGAATAAACCTTATAAAATTTCAAGACCAAGTGTAACACTAAAGTTAAAAAATACCTCCTTACCTCCGTATACGTAATACGTAACTCAAAATTTTAACTATGTAACTGGCTTCGGCACTTTAATTAAAGTATTTTTCTATGTAATTTTTTTTGACGAAATTTGATTGGATGTAAAGATATGATGTAGATCCAGAATTCATGTAACGAAAATTAGGTATGTAGGTATGTACATACATATTACGAATATCATATCTACAGTGCATTATTTCCACCAATCTGATTAATGTTTTTTTTTAATACTTTAAAAATTAAAAAATCTTTGTTACAATAGTTTAATTATATATATTAATTATATAGTTTATTTTTAATTCTATGCATTACTTAAAAATAAAGATTCCTTCGGATTTTTCGATTAATATTAATAACGTAAAATTTTTTAAGTAAAAAATAATTCATAATGATTGGTTCTTCAATCAAAACCACGAGACATTTATAATAATAAACATAAAGAGATATCAAAATATTTGGATTTCATAAAATTAAGGTGGGAATTTTTAACTATGTTTGGTTATTACGTACTACGTACTTATTTATTATTGTATATCATATATTTTGATATTTTGAATACATTTAAAAATTGTTTGTTGTTACTGCAACTAAAAATATTGTGTTAATAGTTTATTATAATGTAAGGCAAAAATATTGGTGTTCATTGTACAATACCTTTTGTTTGTCATGGGATTTTTTGCCAATAGTAAAAGGAAATTTTTATTGATTCATAAATGTATTGTGTATTATTTATTTATTTATCGATCGAGTTTAATGGTGAAGGTGATTTAATGTTAATAATATGATTAATTAAATTTCTTATAATTCTCTCTTAAAAATATCTAAATTGAATAAAAAGATCTTACTGGATCACGATCAATTCGATCAATTCGATCAATTCAGTCAATTCGATCAATTCAATCAATTCGACACATTGCTTTTATCTAGTCTCAAGCCTAGCATCGTCTCAACTTATATTATTATTACTTATAAGGTATCTTAATTCTCTAAATCACCTAAATCAGCCTTTTTAGCTAACGTTATGCTGAGGTTAATTCTTGTTCCAAAGTCATGATAAGAGTGTTAGCACATATCAGCTAACTAAAACGTAGTTTTGATAAGCTTGAATCACAGTGCAATTTCCGCACGTATACTATGGCGTCATTAATTGGTTTCGTGTGATTAATGATCGCATGATCGCAGTAAAAGTAACTTGAATTAATATCGTATTATTTACAAATATGGATATGTATTCGTTTATTTACCGCGTTATAGTGATCGACAAAAATGTACTTTTTAATCCAATGTTTGCGTATTTTGCACAGTAGTTTGCTTTGCCTTATAACGATAATTGCGTATCACTACATTACGGCGAATTTATGAAATTTAAGCTAAAATTTGGTCACCAAATTACATATTAAATAAATCAATGTTAAACCCCGAAAAATTTTTTTTGGGCCCTGATCTTGATTGATAACACGTCTAACCCATCTTCCCCACCTTTGACGTATCTTATTAAACATAGAAATTTATTATAATGACGCACTCTCACTCGGAGATAATGGTTATGTTCAAATTTTTTAAATTTTGGGGTATTTCATAAATTCGCCGTAATGAACCAATCAGTTCAATTTAAAATTTTTCTTGGCGGCTTAGTACTAACCATACTTTGCTTGTCTTTTTTATCCTTTTTTGTTCTACTTCAACTTGCTCTAAAAATTACTAATTCTTAGATCATCTATGTTCTATCATATTTTCTAATTTGGTTAATTTATTTCTCGGATCATATCCGATTTTGTCTTTTTATCGTTATCCTTGCCAAATAACAGTAATTTGATAGTGATTATGTAATATGTCCAAATTAAAATGTTTAATTACTCTAAAAGAAATCTCAATCGGCTAATGCCGTTATGAATGTAAATAACTTGCCATTCTGAATGTAAATTTTTTAATATCTATCAACTTCTGGATCCAAAAGTTGGTGACAATTATTGTTAAAATAATTTTTGGTAATCAAATTAGAAATTATCATATTGTTACCAGGAATGTTTATGTCTAAAGGATTAAACCTGTTCAAAAAACTGGGTCACTCACAGGTTAATAAATATTAAATAGGCTGGCAATGGCTTAGCCAGTTTAATCGGTCTTGTTCAAAAGATTTATCACTAGTCAATCTAATCAATTTAACCTTTTTTGGTCGACCAACAATTTGACCAATCCTGTTAGGCATTATTGTTATATTCAGATAAGATACGTAATAAAGAAACCCATAAGTAAACTAGTGGGGTGTATCCTATCGGTCATTTACAAACATTAGTGCAGATCATTAATAAAATTTATTTACATATAATAAATTTTGGGATCTGCGTTTCATATTAAATTATTATAAAAAAAAATCAAATTACTTTACCTTTGTATAAAAGCATGATGTTTAATAAAAGTATTTTTATAAAGTAATAATATTAGAATTTTATTTCACTAATCGAAATATGTCACGATTTACAAACATAATGCAGGCCACATAGTAATTCGTTGTTCGGTTTTTCTTAAAAATTTAAAGAGTGCGTTAAGAATGCTTCGACAAATCACTGGTAAAAAAAATTATATTTTAACTAAATAATAACCAGAAATATATAGTACAAATATTAACTTATTTACTATATATTTACTAGGTAATATATGTATTTAAGCATATTAAATAAAAATATGTTAAAATACATATATTACCTAGTAAATATACAGTAAATAAGTTAATATTTGTACTATATATTTCTGGTTATTATTTAGTTAAAATACGTATAATTTTTTAACCAGTGAATATAATTTTACTTGTACAATGTTTATTGGCTCAACAGTTATTAAGGGATAAATTTTTATAAAAATCCGGTCATCGATTTACTTTGTGGCCTGCATTATGTTTGTAAATCGTATAATAGTAAACATCCAGGTAAACCGTAACATATTACGATTAGTGAAATAAAATTCTAATATTATTTATAAAAATACTTTTATTAAACATCCAGGTAAACCGTAACATATTTCGATTAGTGAAATAAAATTCTAATATTATTACTTTATAAAAATACTTTTATTAAACATCTTGCTTTTATAAAAAGATAAAGTAATTTAATAATTTCATATGAAACACAGATTCTAAAATTTTATTATAAAAAAAAATTTATTAATTTTTATTAGTAATTTAAAATAGTTATATATATATATACTATGGTTGAAGTCAACACTTGCAGTTAGAGTTAACCATTAAACTGTTAGCTATACAGTTACTATTATTTGTACAAAATAAATAAATTAAAAAATCATATATCAAAATAAAAACTTAACCAAATTTATCTGTAACTTAAACTTACTAAAATGATTAAAGCTTATTTAAATTTAAATGTTTAATATATAATTTAATGATATGTTATATTTATTTATAAAATAAAT